CTGAATGCCCTGGGGATAATGGCAGATATCAGCTCCATCCATGGAGCTTTGCTCAAAACCAGAACGTTCAAAAGCCAGGGACCTCATTAAATCAGAAGAGCTGGACAGGACAGAATGCACATCCAACCAATATGATTAATGCAATGTTCTCCCCCTATTAGTGAGAAGATGTCAGTTTTTATACACTTCCATATAGTTTACCGTTTACAAAGGCACTCTGATTGGCAAGCTAACATTGTTTACCTTTGCCTTAAGGTGGTCAGGCTTTTCACTCTAATTCATGCTCGGATAGCTGATTACTTTGTAGTCACCTTAACATAATTTCTAACTGTGCCACAACTGAATTCTCACTGCATCAAAGGCTTCCAGGCTCCATCAAGGCTGCTTATCAAGCCTAGTCTGACTGGGTAGCTCAAACCTCATTCCAAACATAAATCATGCCCTCTCTCTCTCAGAAATTCTGTAACAACGTTCTGCCTCAAAACACACCAAAGAAACTTGGGAAATCCCAAAGCAAGGGAATCTGCATCCTGCTGGTGGAGCTGGTGTCCCTGGAAGATGAGATCCGAGCTCCCACATGCTTTTTCCCTGCAGGACCTGAGCACAGAGGAGATCTGGGAGGTGGCCATCCCCACAGAGGTGCAGAGGATTGTGGCTGTCAAAGGGAAGAGGTCCAACGAGCACGTGCACTCCCAGGGCCGCGTGATGGGCGACCGCAGCGTCCTCTACAAGGTGCTGCTGCAGCTCTGTGTTGGCTTTTTGTTGAGGGGCTATCCCGTGGGAAGATCCCAGTGCCATTCCCTGCTGCTGCATTGGGATGAGCTGCCCTGTGGTGCCAGCTTTTCTTTATGGACACACACTCTGTGGATGAACACTCATTTTGGAGGTTTCTTTTCGAAAATGTTTCCATGCAGCAGTTAAGTCAGTCACAGTCTGATATTGTGGAGATAACAGCTTGATTTCTTGAGGTGATTTATGCTAATTTGTTCACAATATGCCCAGTGCCAGGCGAAGAGCAGGAAGGAGGTGTTTGTGGCACTGACAGGGTGTCTCAGCTGTTTCTCCTTCGTCCCCAGTCCCTGAACCCCAACCTGCTGGCCGTGGTGACCGAGAGCACGGACACGCACCACGAGCGCACCTTCATCGGGATCTACCTCATGGACGGGGTCACGGGCAGGATCATCCACTCCTCCGTGCAGAAGAAGGCCAAGGGGCCTGTGCACATGGTGCACTCTGAGAACTGGGTGGTGGTAAGCTGCTTGCTTGGGGGCACCACTAAAATCACAAGCTGATAAAAAGCAGTGATCTGTAATGAAGGTCACTCATGGTACAAATATGGCAAAATACATGTGGAATGCAAGACTGACAATTTTGTAAGTTCAACAAATTAGCACACTTAACAGAAATTATCCAGTTAGAGGGACAGTGAATAAAGTAATCCCCCCTTTCAATTCTGCCCCTACTGAAGCCCCCCCCCCCCCAGCTTCTAGCTCCCTTTTTATTGTGTCTATGATATATGGAGAAAATGAGATGTCCTTGGCTCACTATAGAGCAAAGACCAAATAAGATTCCAGCAAGGTTTGCTTATTGTTCTAAAATCTAAGTGGGGGGTAGGAAGGTGCTGCAATTAGTTAAGGAGCTATATGTATAACTATATAATAATAGTCTACAGAGCTACAAATATATGGAAAAGGTATAAAAAGCAAAAATCCTTTTGGCATCGGGGCAGTTCCTGAACCTGCATGGAGGCAGTTTAGTGATTGCCCTGGCTCCTTCCCTGATGCTCCTGAAACTCCTGGCTGCAGTACCAGTACTGGAACACGAAGGCTCGGCGGAACGAGTTCACGGTGCTGGAGCTCTACGAGGGCACGGAGCAGTACAACGCCACAGCCTTCAGCTCCCTGGACCGCCCCATTCTGCCCCAGGTCCTGCAGCAATCCTACATCTTCCCCTCTGCCATCAGTGCCATGGAGGCCACCATCACCGAGCGTGGCATCACCAGCCGCCACCTGCTCAGTGAGTACCTGCTCAGGGGAAGGGTGGCCCTGAAATCCAGCCAAATGCACTTCGCTGCCAAAAAGCCACGCCTGGGGGTTGTGCTGGACTCCTGCGAGTGCAGGGATAAGCACCAGGAGAGTGTCTCTGTTGGCTGTCAGAAAATGCTGTCAGGAGTGGCCATGAGGTGCCAGATTCTTTCCAGTGGTGCCCAGAACATAAACTAAAACCCAGTAAGTTTCACCCCTACATAAGAACTTTCCCTTGAGGGTGGCAGAGCAGTGCCACAGGTGCCCAGGGCGGGTCTGGAGTCTCTCTGGAGACATTCCAGAACCACCTGGATGCATTCCTGAGTGATCTGCTCCTGGTGACCCTACCTAGGCAGGGGGTTTGGACTGGGTGATCCCCAGAAGACCCTTCCAATCCCAGCTGTTCTGGGATTCTCTGATCTTTGAGATGCTTTTCCTTCAATGCACAGTTGGGCTGCCCTCTGGGGCCATCCTGTCCCTTCCCAAGGCTCTGCTGGACCCTCGGCGCCCGGAGATCCCCACGGAGCAGAGCAGGTAGGGAAGGATGAGAACCTGGGATCTGGAAAGGGCTGGATTTTGGGTTAAGAGGAACAACTTGTCCTGCCTGAACTCAGAGGAGTCTTGGCATGGAATGAAGGGAAGTTCCTTCGGGTCAGAGGTTGGACTCACTGATCTTGGAGGTCTTTCCCAACCTGAAGGATTCTGTGATGGGATGCATTTGTCTGTGTTACAGCAGGTCAGTCCATAAACCAGCCTGGTGTCTGTATTCTCAGGGAGCAGCAGTCAGAGGAACTGGATATTTTAGAGTTACACTTGTAAGACTTCGGCTTAGCCTGACACAGCTGATATATATGATTTTTATCCTGCAGCAATAATGAATCTGCACTGGGAAAAGCTCCCAAATCTGCTGGTTTAGGATAGCTTTTGATAATCAGGAGACACTGGTGGCACCTGCTGTGTGCTGCCTGGCTGGGGTTTGATGTCTGGTGGTGCCTTGCAGGGAGGAGAACCTGATCCCGTACTCGCCCGACGTGCAGATCCACGCCGAGAGGTTCATCAACTACAACCAGACCATCTCCAGGATGAGGGGGATTTACACAGCCCCCTCTGGCCTCGAGTCCACATGCTTGGTGAGAGCAGGGGAGAGGACTCAGTGTGGAATTTGGGGGTGGATCTGAATTCTGTAACCCCCGTAACACAGCTGCTCGCAGCGTAACCATCGCTCCTTTCTGTTGAAACTGTCACCCTGAGGGAATCATTTTGGGGTTTTATGCTCCAAGCTGCATCCCCAGCTCCTGATCTCCTCCCTGCAGGTTGTAGCCTATGGGCTGGACATCTTCCAGACCCGGGTGTACCCCTCCAAGCAGTTTGATGTGCTCAAGGACGACTACGACTACGTGCTGATCAGCAGCGTGCTCTTCGGGCTGGTCTTTGCCACCATGATCACCAAGAGACTGGCCCAGGTGAAGCTGCTGAACCGGGCCTGGCGCTGAGGGAGGCCCAGCCCGGAGCAGCTGGGCTGGGCTGGGATCCCAGCCCCCCCGAGGGATGGAGACAAACACCTCTGTTCCATTTGGCTGGAAGAAGTTTGTGAGGAAAAGCTGCTGGAGGAACAAAACCCGCACTGCCCGCGTGTCTCCCGTGAGGAGGAATGGAAGAGATGAAAAATAGAGACTTTTTTAGGCTGTTCTGACTGAAAAAGAGGGTCCCAAATCTCCCTTAAAGCCTCAAAATTGGCGTCTCCCTGATGTTGGTGAAGAGAATCCTGAGGATGTGTCCTGCTCATCCTGGGGTCTCCCTCTTTGCCAGCTGTGCCCCACATCTGGCAGCAAGGAGGGTTGTTGGCTCTGCCAGCTGTGTGCCACATCTGGCAGCAAGGAGGGTTGGCTGTGCCAGCTGTGCCCCACATCTGGCAGCAAGCAGGGTTGCTCATGCTGTGAGGAAGAGACCCTGGGTGATTTCTGTAGGAAAAATGTTGGGATTTGGGTGTCTGGCAGTGGGAAATGGCCTCATGGAGCCACTGATGAAGCTGCAGAGCGGTGGGAAGAATTTGAACCTGAAGTCTCTCCATGTTCTTTATTTATTATGACAACATCAGTTCCTTCCCATTCGTTTCTACATTTTCCTGCTATTTTTTTGTGTGTTCAGAACTGGGGTTAAGGCGGGCTGGTTCAGGGGGAGGAGCCTTCAGCGTTTCCTTCGGGATCTCGGCTCTGAGCGCTGGATTTGATCCGTTCCGGTCCCGTTTGTCCCCCGGGAGTGGCCGTGTCCCCCCTGCACCCCCCAGTGTCCAGATCCCAAAATAAAGCTGCGGAGCAGGGAGTGCGTTTGGGCTACTGAAGTGTTTCTTGGGCTATTTGAGCGGTTTGGGGGCTATTTAAGGGGCTCGGGAACTGTTTAAATGGGTTGGGGGGGCTATTTAGGTGGTTTTTAGGGGGTTACTTTGGTGATTTTGCAGTGCTGTTTGGGTGGGTTTTTTGGGGCTGTTTAGGTGGAGGGTTGGGGCTGTTTAAGGGGCCTTGGGGGGGGCATTAAAGTGTTTTTTGGGGACCAGTGAGGTGGGTTTTGGGGCTAAGTGGTTTTATGGAGCTGTTTCAGTGGATTTTGAGCTACTTAAGTGGGATTTTTTTTTGTATTTACGTGGGGGGGTTGTTTCCTTATTTAAGCGTTTCGGGGGACTCTTGAAGCGGGTTTTTTTTTCGCTGTTCAGTGTTTTTGGGGTATTTTTTGATGATTCCCCGGCCGCTCCGAGCCCTCCCTGCCCCGGGGCGGCCGCGGGGGGGCGGGACGCGCGCACGGCGCATGCGCGGCCGCCGCCCCGCCTTCCCCCGCGCTGCGCGCGCGCCGCGCGCCAAAGTTGCTGACTCACGCAGTGCGCACGCGCCCGCGCCGCGGGCCAATGGGGCGGCGCGACGTTGCGCGGTCGCCGCCCCGCCGGCAGGGGGCGCTGTGCGCGCCGCGGCCCCCGGCCCAGCGCAGCCCAAGATGGCGGCGGGCGGCGCGGGGGCCGCGGCCGGGCCCGGCTGGGACGTGGCCGTGCGGCCGCTGCTCTCCGCCTCCTACTCGGCCTTTGACATGAAGGAGCTGCCACAGCTGCTCGCCTCGGTCATCGAGAGGTGAGGGAGCGCGGGCGGGGGCTGCCGCCTCTCGGCGTCGCCCGCTGAGGGGCAGCGCTGGGGGTGCCGCTGCGGGAGCGGCTGAGGGGCGGCTGAGGTGGGGCCCGGCTGCGTGCGAGGGGCTCGGTGCCCGGGGCCGGGCTCGGTGCCCGGTGTCCGGCAGGGCAGGCGGCGGGGCTGCGGCTGCCCGGGCAAAGCCCCAGCTCCGTGCCCGGCTCCTCCCGTTGTCCCGGGGCCGGAGCTCTCGGAGGTGCCCTCGGGCCCCATAACGGGCTGAGGGTGCTCGCCCGGCCGCAGCACCTCGGACAGGCGCCCGCCGAGAGGCTTCGGGACTGTTCTTGTGGTTTTGCTTTTGTCCAGGCGTGTCACAGTTCGCCCGGTTGGGCCGTGGGAAATGTTGTCTCACCGGGCTCTGGGGGACCAGACTTCCCTCTAAGTCGTTATCACTGCAGTGCTTCTCCTCTTTTAAGTCGAAATAAAGCAGAACCAAATCAAACCTGCCTTGTCTTAACCACACAGGTTGGAGTCAGAGCATGAAAGTACCCACTGCAGCTACTTAATTCAACTTACAGCTTGATTTATGATCTAAAACCCGAGATGTGAATGCCACAAACATCATGCTCAGTCACAGAGATATAACCCCGGCCACAATAAGTTGTTAGGAAACATAAAATAAAGAGTGCACTGAGGACAGTGATAAAATAAAGCCCTGTGGTGTTTTGTTCAATGTAGAATGGCTGAGTGTGCAGTGGATGCTTCAGATTCAAAGAGTTAATCAGAGGAGTTCAGTGCCTGCACGGACAGAGCAGCTGTTCCCCCGGGAGCTGCACCCTCGGTGTTGATGGGTTTGGGCAGTTCTTTGGCCACGCTTTGTTTTAGGGACCATTCCAGTGTCACTTTTCCCCGAGCAGCCCTGCTGTCCCTGTGCCTAAAGTTCATTAGTGGAGTATTCCATCAGAGTATCCCAGGGAGACTCGAGTGGATCCACTTGAGTTCTGGGAGAGGGCTTTTTCCTCCTTTAGAGGCAACGTTGGTTCTGTTTTCCACTTGAGACAGCAGGTTGTTTCCTTCCAGCAGCACTGCCTGGGGTGGAGCTGTGTGTCTGGTGGTCTGGCAGGACTTCAGCTTGTGCAGGATGGTATTTTTTGTTTCATGCCTTGGTGTGGTGTGCTAAATGACAAAAGGAATAAATACAACTTGTTTGTGTCTGGAGCTGTGCTCTTCTGTGCTGGACAAGAATCTGTCTTTAGATTTCTCACAGAAAATCTTTTATGTGTTCAAGTTATTTTTAGGAGGCAGTTGTTAAGCTCTTGACAGTGTCAGCCAACCCCAAAGTGTCTGGATTTCCCCTGAAATAAACTTGGTGAAATAACAGTGAAATCACCAGTATTTTTCTTCTCAAAATAAAACAATAAACTCCTTTTTTAACTACTGTGGTATTTCATTTATAACTTTAGGCATCATCAGGATACCAGTATTCCTCTGTTAGCAGGTGTCTTTGTGAATTGACAGAAACTAGGCCTTTATTTGACATAAATGATGGAATGCTGGCTTGGAAAGGTGCAGCTGGAGGCCAACTTCAGGTCTGTGAAGTCTCTCTGGGCTGGTTTTTGGGAAGGGGTTTCCACAGGGAGAGCTGCACCTGGAGCAGTGCCTTCCCCAGGAGGAGACTGCTCTGTGCCCACTGTCCCCAGGCCAGGCTGTGTTTGGGGGTGTCAGCAGTGGGGCCAGGCTGTGTTTGGGGTTGGTCAGGACTGGGGACAGGCTGTGTTTGGGGTGTCAGCTTTGGGGACAGGCTGTGTTTGGGGTGTCAGGGTGGGGCCAGGCTGTGTTTGGGGTGTCAGGGTGGGGCCAGGCTGTGTTTGGGGGTGTCAGGGTGGGGACAGGCTGTGTTTGGGGTGTCAGCACTGGGGACAGGCTGTGTTTGGGGTGTCAGGGTGGGGCCAGGCTGTGTTTGAGGTGTCAGCTTTGGGGACAGGCTGTGTTTGGGGTGTCAGCAGTGGGGCCAAGCTGTGTTTGGGGGTGTCAGCTTTGGGGACAGGCTGTGTTTGGGGTGTCAGGGTGGGGACAGGCTGTGTTTGGGGTGTCAGCAGTGGGGACAGGCTGTGTTTGGGGTGTCAGCAGTGGGGCCAGGCTGTGTTTGGGGTGTCAGCAGGGGAGACAGGCTGTGTCTGGGGATGTCAGCAGTGGGGCCAGGCTGTGTTTGGGGACAGGCTGTGTTTGAGGTGTCAGCTTTGGGGACAGGCTGTGTTTGGGGTGTCAGCAGGGGAGACAGGCTGTGTCTGGGGGTGTCAGCAGTGGGGACAGGCTGTGTTTGGGGACAGGCTGTGTTTGGGGGTGTCAGCAGGGGGGACAGGCTGTGTTTGGGGTGTCAGCAGGGGAGACAGGCTGTGTTTGGGGGTATCAGCAGTGGGGACAGGCCGTGTTTGGGGTGTCAGCAGGGGGGACAGGCTGTGTTTGGGGTGTCAGCACTGGGGACAGGCTGTGTTTGGGGACAGGCTGTGTTTGGGGACAGGCTGTGTTTGGGGTTGGTCAGGACTGGGGACAGGCTGTGTTTGGGGACAGGCTGTGTTTGGGGTGTCAGGGTGGGGACAGGCTGTGTTTGGGGGTGTCAGCAGTGGGGACAGGCTGTGTTTGGGGACAGGCTGTGTTTGGGGTTGGTCAGGACTGGGGACAGGCTGTGTTTGGGGACAGGCTGTGTTTGGGGTTGGTCAGGACTGGGGACAGGCTGTGTTTGGGGACAGGCTGTGTTTGGGG